TGTCACTTTTTTCTTTCTTGAGGTGTGGATACATATTGACAACTTTCTTGTTCATAAATGGATTTATATATTTGTTTGGCGTGTGGAAAGTTTTGTTTACTTAACACTATAGGGCCAAGTTCCACAGCCAAATTTCCTTTCACGCCCCATGCTTTTGCTGATTTTTCACGCACACCCTCTCCATTTTTGCATTTTCTTTGTCATTTGCAGCTACTTCATGTTGACAACTTAGACACTAAACATCTGTAACTTGAAATAAATATATCCCGTGAACCTTTCGTTGTATCCTCATGAAAAACAAGCTCATTTCTCAGATGATAAAGGTAGACATTGAGGTTGATGGCTCTTTCAACAATATGCACGCAGTTCAAGGAAATCTTTACACAATTAACATGGAAACTTATACTTATATGATAGTAGTTCATGCTCACATGTCATGGCAACTTTAGTAGGGCCAAGTACTGGTGGTATCAACTTTTTTGCTTGCACATGGTATGCTTCATGATAGGGTTGTCTAGTTTCTCTATGCAAACAAATTTTCCTCATCTTCTCTATTTTTCACTATTGGTCTATGAATGCCAATGAACTACATCTTCTTCTTGTGCATAAACTACATCTTCTTCTGGGGCATATAGGGATTTAAGATATGGAATGATCTCAATACGACTCCTACTAGTTCTACCAAGGTACATTATTTGGTCTTATGTTCTTATCCATTTCCTCTGAGTGCACCATTCGACTATGTGCCATTTTGGAGTATGACCTTGCGTGTTTTCTTTTCCATCCTGGTATTTGTGTTTTTGGATATTGTGTGTGCAACTACGAAAATAACCACGACACATGGGAACTCTCACACACACCATATGGTCGTTTTATTTAGCAAAACATGGCAAACTTTCCTAGCATATGCATAACAGATTGGCGTTAGAATGGAGGCAAACCTAATTGGCTTGTGTTGATGGCAATCTGACACATACTTATATGCTGACATTATACCACAAAACACATGTCAACTTTTAGATAACTACATGGCAACACTAGGTATCAACACATGACAACCTTTTGTTTCCTGGGTTCTCGAGGGAAATTAGAGGGGGTGAAAACTTATCACATGTGGATGGAAGCACTAGAGCATGATACATAGAAGTCTTTTCCATACATTTTTCATTTGACCCATGTTTTTATATGGAGGGTGGAACATTACCATAACCTTAGATGACCACTCCAAAGCACAAGGCATCACAATTTTCATTCAACATTCATGTTTTTTTTTACTTTGGAGATAGTGGGAGGGGGAATTGGTGTTGATGGATAGTTGTATCCCTGGGTCGCATGTACCGCAAGGGACATATATGCATAGGGACATGGGGGTTCAAGGGACCCATACATGGGAGACCGATTTAATGGAAGGTGACTTCCGAGGTTTCCTATAAAGGAAGTCAAGGCCTTTCAAAACTAGGGAAGAGTCCAATTCTTAGGGACAAGCATCACTACTGTGTGTGTGTGGGGGGGGGGGCTGCCATATTTCACATATACAAGGTCGTCTGACACCACAGAGAAGAACCAAGATGTACACACATTGCAACCTGCCCATAGAAGCCACATCAATCCATGACATCCAGTCTAGATCGACCCCTAGAACTGGACGAGTTGCCTCCCAACTTGTCAAAACCCTCTTTGTAAATCTCCATTGTACTCTATATCAAGATTAATCCCATATAATTAAGCATGAGTGGAGCTATTAGCCCCCCCCCTCCCAAGGGGAAGGAGGGGCACTGAAATAATATGTGAGTCCCGTACCGCTAAGAGGTGCCAGGTGAAATTATCCTCGACAATTGCATGTGCCCTCTTCTCTGTTCTCTACAAGGATATCCCTATTG